TAGGCCCTGCATGGCTTCTTCGTCCCCCTTCCCCGCGGTTAACCAAAATTTTCAGTTTAAACACAGGTTTTACTGTGTATTTATTTGTGGTCTTGGCCAGTGTTCCCTCTATATTTTTCCATTCATGACTGGAGTTAGTTTTGATTTGTGCACCAATATTCAGGCCATGTGTGCTTCTTCAGATGTGTTTTATGTATATGTGTCAGGGCAAGCCAGCATCTACCCCATCCCTTCTCTGAGGCCCCCACCCCTTCCTCAAGGCCCCGCCCCCTCCAAACCTTTCCACAAAGTACCCATTGCTAATGGAAACTCACCATTAATTACATAATTATTCCTGAGCCATTTTGCTACTGCTGCAGCTGGGGAGAACAGTTTAATTTAAAATATTAAACATTAAGCGTTTTAACTTTCTCATGTTCATTTATCAAACTTCATTTTAAATAAAGTAAAATATTATATCCAACACACAAGGTTTCAATGTTTTCTTTATTTATGGCAGGGGTGGGGAATCTGTTTTGGATTGGGGGCCACTGACCCACAGAAAAATCAGTTGGGGACCGCACAAGTGAGAAGTAAAAAAAAAAAAATTCCAAACCCTCACTGATGTGGCCCCTGACTGAGGCACCTCACTCTTCTGAGGTTCAGGCCTTCCCATAGACCAAATTTACTTTTCTGGGGTTCCAGAGTTAGTGGATTTTGTGGACCCCCTTGGGCTCTGTGGGAACAAAAATGAGGGGTTCCATGTGCTAGGACTGCCAGCGAGTGGATAGGGATGCAGGATCTGGGTGGGAGGTGGAGTGCGGCACTGGGTGAGGAGGGCAGGGTCTGGAAGGGAGTTTGGCAGCAGGAGGGTATGGGGAGGGGGTATGAGAGGGAGTTTGGGAGGGGGTTGGGAGAGTAATGCAGAAAAGGTGAAAGGGTGAGAATGCAGCCAAATAATTAGCTGGGGGCAGGGGGAGGCAAAGAAGTGGGATGTAAAGGAAAGTGTGGCTTCTGCAAAGTAAAATTGTATCCCCTCTCAATCTTCCCTCTGCTGCAGCCCCACTTCCCTCAGCCCCATTATCCCCTCCCCCTGCCTGATCCACTACATTGCCCCATGCTCCTCAGTGCAACCCCCGCCCCCTCTCATCTTGCCCCTGCATCCTCCTTCATTCCGGCTCCCACCCCCACATCTCTGCCTCCAGTGTACTCATCAGTAAGACAGCAATGCTGGGACACAGCCTCCTGGGAGCAGTGCTGGGGCAAGGGAGGTTGTGGGGAGACAGTCTCTTCCCTGCCTGACCCAGCCCTTTGTCTGAAGGCAGTGGCTCTGGGAATGGGGCAGGCAGAGCCTGGGGCTGCCTAGTGCTGGCTCCAGTCTGGCCGGGCGCAGCGGGGCACTGGGGAAGGGGCCTCCCCAACCCCGCGCACAGCCCACAGGAACAGATCAGTATAGCTGAGGCCCTGCGCACCATGTGTGCTGGTCACTCAGCCCCGGCTCTTCAGAGCAGGCCCACCCCCACCCCCTCCGGGAGCAGGAGGCAAGAGCCAGGGATGCATGCATGCCTCTCCATATCAGCACTGAGGTTCAGAAATTAAATTCAAAATATCAACCTTCCAAAAACCTATCACTAGTCCATTCTGTCATCTGAGGCATACTCCCTCTCTGAGCTCCTCTTGGGACATCACAGGATTATTCTGTCCCTGGGCAAACTCTGTGCTTTAATTTTATAACAGTAACCTTGCCAGTGATCCCTGTCATGTGATCTCATTAATTTTTGTAACCCTGTCTTACAATATGCAACTAAAGCCAATTTGTATTTAGCTCAGACACTCTGCCTTCCCCAGACTTGTGCAGCTTGAAAGCTTGTACCTTCCACCAATATAATGTGGTCCAAAACTATATTTTCTCACCTATCTTGTATCTCTCAGAGTTAAGTATCTCTCACTGCCAGGATTCCTGTTACACATGCATACACGAGTCAGAGTTCCTGCTTCTGGTCCCATCCTAGCAAATCAGTCCAATTTGGGTTGTCATATAGCCCCTGCTACCACCAAAACCGCAGTAGAGTCAATAGCTGCATGGAAACCTCTTCTAATAGTAGGGGGAAATATAAGATAGCTGTAACCAGATTTAAGAGTGCCCACAGAGGGATTTGAGTGGTTTTCCTATTTCATGTGATTAAGATAAATTTGTTTAAGTAGGTATTTAAATCGAGCAACTTTTGTATTTAGACAAGGCCTTATTTACAGCCTAGGTTTTAAAGTTACGTTTCTGGACAGGACAATGCATGAATCATTTTTCTTTCTCCTTATAAGGATTAATATTTTATTAAGGTTTCATTCCCCAGTTAGTTAGCTGTTCCTCACTCATCTAGGAACTGATTGGAATGTTCTATGTTGTGAGAAGCAGAATTATAAGGTAAAAGACTGCATTAGTTGATCTATGATGCATACTGTAAAGACAGTTTTCCCAACTTGGAATAGGATAAGTTAAATAAGAGCCAAAAGTGAGTTGAAGCAGGAAAAACAAAATTGTTTAAGAGGGCTATGTGGGTTTTAATCAAGTGGACTTAATCTGATTTTTTTATCAGTTCAGTTTAGTATTAAAAGCTATTTTCAAAATGTATATGACAATTGATACTGCCAAGCCTTACCATGATATTCTGTAACTGTCTAAAATGAATTTTAGATATCAAAAATATTACTGCATCCTGTAGAAGATAAACTAAGTGAAGAGCTTCCAGTGCTAAATCAAGAGGAACTTGAAGCAATTAAAGATCCAGACATTATAACTAATCAAATAGCTCTTTTAGAAGCTCAGTGTCATGAAATGAAACCAAATCTTGGTGCCATTGCAGAGTATAATAAAAAGGTAAGGCTTTGTTGTTTACCATTAATATCACAGTAGACTTAATCTCTTTACACTGCTTTAACACTATTTCCATCAGATAGATAACTTCTTGTTTAGCTTTACTTCATTTGAGATTGCTTGCATCGCTCAAAATGTAATACTCTGGGCACTGACGTAATATATGGTCACCCTACTAATCGGGCATTTTTATCAAGTAATTTTCCACATGTTCTTCCAGGGTCAGTGTTCCCTCTCTTTCCATCCACATGTGGAATAATTTTTTTGATGTTTACTAAGGCATGTGCAAATATGCACAAAAGTAGAAACAAAAAACCTATCTGTGGGTGCTCTGCTAATCAGCTAGGTGGCATTTGAATCTCTCCTGAGTGGCCATTTAGGCACTTAGCTTATAGGCAATACTGTCCAGGATCCCTCTTTCCAAAGAGATAGTATAAACCATCACATCCAAGTCAATTAGTGTAGCTTCAGACCTTAAAAAGACAAAGAAAAGTGATAAGGAAACAGTCACAGGGGGAAGAAATGCTGATTGGTCCCCTGCTCTCCTCTGTCTCCCTTGATAAGACTGTTAATCCCATCTACTCCACGGTAAGCGGTGCAGAACAAGTCCCACAAACTCATGGATATCTTGAATCCCTTCTGCACGTGCCAATAAATAAAATTATCTTAGAATTCAAAGAACCTATGACATATGTTAGCTGTAAGTGTATATCAGCTACTAATAGTAAAAAGTGCTCTTTCAGAAAAGTAGAAATAACTTGGTCTTAAAAAGGAAATTTCATTTGTTTCCATTTTCCCCTGCAGGAAGAACTGTATCTGAAACGTGTGACAGAGCTGGATGAAATTACCAATGAGAGAGACAACTTTAGATTGGCTTATGAAGACCTTAGGAAACAAAGGCTTAATGAGTTTATGGCAGGATTTAATGTAATAACAAATAAACTAAAGGAAAATTACCAAATGCTTACCTTGGGAGGAGATGCTGAATTAGAGCTTGTAGACAGTCTGGATCCTTTCTCTGAAGGAATCATGTTTAGGTTTGTCTGAAACAATTTTTAATCAATGACATTTCTTAACCTGGTGTTCATGGTTTGAATATTCATCAGACAGCTCTAAAACAAGAAGTAAAGCAGTTATGCTGAACCAACTAGGGCAATCTTTTTTCTTTTATGGCTATTAATGAAAGGATAGCAAGGAAAGACACATTTAAATAAAATTAGATGAACTCCAGGGGGAGAGAATAAATGTAATGTAATTTGTATGAAAAAGTCACTCCTGTCAAGAAAAAATAATTGTAAAGTGACATCAGCTGTTCTTGAACATGAACATGGAACACTACTCTGTAAGGGATTTCCAACATAAATGGAGTGAAATTATTTGGTTTATTGGAAAATCTGTCCATTTTAGTAACCATCTACACAGAAGATTGTCACTTGTTTTGAAGAGTATAAGTGAATATTATGGGTTCTGCTCCATGTTTCATAAATGGATTCTGATAGTAGATCCATTCCATATTAGTTGTAAAGAGTAGTTCTGAGGGGTAACTTCTCAAGTACTTGTTAATATTCATTTTAGAAATCATAATATTTAAAGACGATAAGAATATTTCTTACTGAGGCATGAAGACTTTTTTTATATAAACTAATTTGTACATTAATAAATATGAATGGAAATAATGTATAAACTCTTAATTTTTCAGTGTACGACCACCAAAGAAAAGCTGGAAGAAGATATTTAATCTGTCAGGAGGAGAGAAGACTCTTAGTTCTCTAGCTTTGGTTTTTGCGCTTCATCATTACAAGCCAACTCCCCTCTACTTCATGGATGAGATTGATGCAGCTCTTGACTTTAAAAATGTATCAATTGTAGCATTTTATATATATGTAAGTATTTCTCTATATAATAAATAGAATACATTATTTACCAATATAGTTTCCATCCATGCCAGAAATTATCAGTGTTCTGTAGCAATTCTGTCTGTAATGTCAAATTGCAACTCTTTGTGTGATCACTGGATGTGTCACTTATTTCTGATTAGATAAGTTTTGGGCATCCAACTGCTCCCTTTTAGGCACTCATTTAAGTGGACAGATTTTTTTATATGTGATGCCCATCATGTAGGATCTCCTGTTCTCTAGTCCTGACATCTGGACCACACATCTTGCCGGACCAAAGAGTCCTGTACCAGCAGAGGTGCAACCTGTATTATTATTATTATTCCTCTCAAGGGTCAGACAATAAAGTATTGTAAACGAAAAATAATTATCTAAGTTTAGGTGATTATATATTACCACTTTTTTTTCTTGCTTCCATATTGCATAAAACCTTCATCTCTAAGATTTCCAAATTAGCTGAACTTGCTTTAATAATTACTTCACATAAGAGTATAATTTTTTTAAAATAATGTGACCTAATATGAAATGATTTATTTCTTTTTCAGGAGCAAACAAAAAATGCACAATTTATCATCATCTCTCTACGAAATAATATGTTTGAAATTGCAGATAGATTAATTGGAATTTATAAGACTCACAATACAACAAAAAGTGTTGCAACAAACCCAAAAATAATTGGATCTAAAGGACTTGCTGAAATTGGTTCTGTTGGATGCTGCTGAATGTGTAATCTTCCATTCTGAAGACAGTGAAATCTTATTCTAATGTGTATTTCCACTATTTCTGCTGTTTGTCTATATTCTGTTAGCTTTGTTTTGTTGTGTGATTCATCATTATCCCATAACATTTTTTTAATATCTTAGCTTTCATTATTTGCAGTTCTTAGTAAGCCAAGATATGTAGAAGAGCTAATATTTTCTGTTAATTGGCTACACTCAATTTTTGTAGCTATCTTAATTTATATACATTTGAGCATAACAGAACTGTTTCTAAAAGTGTGTATCTAAGTACATTTTAAAGTCTCATTTAGTAGGCATTATACCAATGTTTGGGCTCTACCTGTAGATTTTTAAACAGCTTTTTACACTGTATTTTATTAAAATAAAAGTTAACTAATTCAAGTTCTTGTTGAATAGAGCTATAATGTTCAGAGATGTGTCTATATGTTATTGATGGAATTGTGATGTATACAGTTCCCATTATTTAAAAAAATGCTTATTTCAACACTAAATGTTTGTATTACATCAGGATTGTTGCCCTTTTGTAATGTAATGTTTGCTGTGAAAACTTAAAATAAGAGCTACCTTCCCCTCTGTCATCCGTTTGCACTATAAATTTGGACAAGATGTGACAGGTGTAGGAAGAATAAAAGCAGGGGCACGTGTGCTTTTGGATGGAGAGGAGGTAAGGAAAACAGTAGTTGTAGAATACACACATATATATTTGCTGTGTGTACAATTTAGAAGCTTCAGTAGGGGAATGTGGTTAAGGAATCATTAACTGCACATTATAATTAGGCAATGCACTTTAGCCACTGTGACACAGGCAGATATTAAAAAAGGAACAGAGTAGTCAGCTCTACAGATTTTATTTGGGGAGTGTTCCATGCATATAGGTCAGTAGAACAGTTTTAGGAGAAGCAGGAAATCAAGGTTGCCACTAGTGGTCATAGGTCTGATCTACATTAAGACTTTACATCAACTTTAGCTTCTTATGGTAGATTTCCTAAGTGATGTATCCACACTACCAAGCCTGTTATGTTGACTTTAAGGGTTGCAAATGTTGATTTAAGTACTCCTGCTTTTCATGAGGAGTAATGCTATTCCTGACCTTGCATAGTGAAACTTACGGTAACGTAAATACAATGTTGCCAGAAAGTGAAGACTGTTGGCCTCCAGGAGACCTCACACAGTTCCCGCCCTGACCTCTCTGGCCAGAATATGTGTGTCTGCTGTTGTCCCTGGTGAGCACAAAAAGCCATTGGGAAAAGTTGATTGGCCTCTCCATGTGGCCAGCATTGCGAGCATATTCAGAAAGAGCAGCACACCATGCACATGTGGAGATGATCTCCAACTGTCCTGCCAACACTGTGACCACTTCAAATACTTCTACTTCCCCAGACTTCAGTTCCTTGGGGTGCAGAAGAGTGTCATTGTGGAGTGTCCAGCAGATCTTGGACCTCATCATGGCGTTGGGAGATGATGCCTGCTGAGTGGAAAATCAAGGACCTGAAAATCTTGTTTCCCTTTATGCCTGTAGCTAGTTTGAGCTCATTTTGTGCCTTTGCCTTTCTAATCTTGTCCCTGCATTCCTGTATTGTTTGCCTATATTCATCCTTTGTAATTTGTCCTATTTTCCATTTTTATATAACTCCTTTTTTATTTTTAGATCATGCAAGATCTCCTGGTTAAGCAAAGGTGGTCTTCTGTCATATTTTCTATCTTTCCTATGTAGCGTAATAGCTTGCTTTTGGGCCTTTATAATGTCCCTTTGAAAAACTGCCAACTATCTTCAGTTGTTTTTTCCCTCAGTCTTGCCTCCCTTGGGACCTTACCTACCATCTCTCTGAGCTTACCAAAATCTGAAATCCATTCTCTCTGATTTGCCGTTCTCCCTTCTAACATACCTTAGAATTACGAACTCTATGATTTCATGATCACTTTCAGTCAAGCTGCCTTCCCACTTTCAAATTCTCTACAAGTTCCTCCCTATTTGTTAAAATCAAATCTAGAACCACTCTCCCCCCCTCCCCTCCAGGAGCTTTTTCAACCTTCTGAAATAAAAAGTTGTCTTCAATGCAGTCCAAGAACTTATTGGATAGTCTGTGCTCTGCTGTGTTAGTTTCCCAACATATATCTGGATAGTTGAAGTCCCCCATCACCACCAAATCCTGCGCTTTGGATGATTTTGGTAATTTAAAAAAAGCCTCATCCACCTCTTCCGCCTGGGTAGGTGGCCTGTAATAGACCCCTAGCATGACATCATCCTTGTGTTTTACCCCTTTTAGCATAACCTAGAGACTCTCAACATGTCTGTCTCCTATGTCCATCTCCACCTAAGTCCAAGTGTGTACATTTTTAATATATAAGGCAACACCTCCTCCCATTTCCCCCCACCTGTCCTTCCTGAGTAAGCTGTACCTTTCTATACCAATATTCCAATCGTGTATTATCCCACCAAGTTTCTGTGATGCCAACAATGTCATAGTTGTATTTATTTATTAGCACTTCCAGTTCTTCCTGCTTATTTACCCGGACTTCTTGCATTTGTATATAGGCATCTAAGATACTGATTTGATCTTGCCTCCCAGTTCTGCCTTGTCCCTCCTTTCTCTCTGCTCTTAAAGCCCTCGCTCCCTCCCATTTACGACCTGTCTCCATGTTCTTCACTTACCCATGGGCTTTGGTCACCTGTCCCCTTTGAACCTAGTTTAAAGCCCTCCTCACTAGGTTAGCCAGTCTGTATCCAACTACGGTCTTCCCCTTCCTCGAAAGGTGAAGGTGAATAGAGGAGTACCTTTTGTGATTGATGTGATCCCACAGTCAGGGGAGCCTATCATAGCAAAGCCATCCACTATGGTGTCCATGTTTCCCAGAGCCACAATCCTCCATACCAAGATATAATTGATGGCTTGGGCTACTTGTAACAGCAGCCCCCACGTAGATTTCCCCCCTCTGAAATGATTCGCCCTTTACCCATAGTTGTATGGCCTTGCAAGCTTCCATAAGGCAATTGCCATGCACTTGTCCATAGTCATTCAGGTATTCTGGTGCCTCAGAACAGGGGAAAGCCATTTACAAAGTTCCAAGAACACGGTCTTGAGCATTTGGAAGTTCTGCAGTCACTGCTGATCGTTCCTTCTCTGCATCACAGTATGGTTCTGCTAGTCTCAGCTTGTCTCATAGCACCAGAACCAGTATTCCATTGTGTCCAGAGGATTGACTGGTGGCTGTACTAGCATCAGTGCCAGGCCTTGCACGAGCAGGACCTTCGTGCCATGACAAGCTTTGTTCTCGTCCTTTTCATGCCTGTGTTGCTATGGTGTCTGTGACCAGAGCACCACAAGGCATGAACACACTGCCTCCCCTTTATCTCATGCAATGGGGGAGGGACTAAAGTGCATTATGGGATGCTGGCAACATCCGCACTTCTAACCCCCTACTACAGAGTTTTGGATGCACCAGAGAGCACTGTCAGCATAGCCCAGAAAAAACAGTTACTTACCTGTAACTTGTTCTTCGTGATGTGTTGCTCATGTCCATTTGAATTAGGTATGTGTGCACCACGTGCACGGATTTTGGAGCCTTTTTTCCCCAGTGATATCCGTTGGGCCAACAGGGAGCCCCTAGAGTGGCACCAGCATGTTGGTGAATAAGTACCCCTGCTGGCCCTTCCCCTCCTCAGTTCCTTTTTGCCGGAGAACTTTGATGAAGAGGAGGTGAGGGGGTGTCGAATGGACATAAACAACACAGCTCAGCTCGAAGAACTTGAGTTACAGGTAAGTAACTTTTTTCTTTGAGTGCTTGCTCATGTGCATTCAAATTAGGTGATTCCCTACCAAAAACAACTGGAGGCGAACTTCGGAGACCAGTATAGGTTAAATTAAGCCTGATTGCAACACTGCAGTCTGCATAGCAGCATCCTCTCTAGCTTGCTGGGCAATCGCATATGCACTGTGAACTTGTGCACTGACAACCATCTGGCTACCTAGCAGATATCTAGTATGGAAACCTGTGCCAGGAAGTATGCACACTATTGAAGTGAGCTGTGATGCATGGCAGCACCTTACCCGCCAGGTTCTAACACTCTGATACATGAAGTAATCCAGGATGACAAACACTGGGCTGACACAGGCATGCTCTTCGTCCTTTCCACTATTGAAATAAAGAGATGTGGTGATCTGTGAAACTTTCTTGTCCTATCTATGTAAAATGCCAGTGTGCGCTTCATGCCTAGTGAGTGCAGGACCCATTCCCTAGGAGTCACATGAGGCTTCGGGAAGAACACTGGTAGGTAAATGTCCTGTTATGTGGAATGTAGAGACCATCTTAGGGAGGAAGGCTGGGTGGGGACACAGACATAGCCTATCTGCATATAAGGGGGGCCAAACGTTAGTGCTCTTAACTCTGAAACCCTCCTAGCTGATGTGATTGCCACTATAAAGGCCATCTTGAACTACAGGTGCTGAAGGGAGCATGTGGCCAACAGCTTCAAAGACAGGCACATGAGTCTAGTAAGCATGAGAGTGAGGTCCCATGGTGGGACAGGCTGCCTGACATGAGGGAACAGCCTGTCTACCCCCTTGAAGAACCTCTTGACCATTGAGTTTGCAAAAACAGATCTGCCCCCTTCCCCCAGATGAGAGGCTGCTATAGTTGCCAAATGTACCCTAAAAAAAAGGCTACGTCTACACTGGCCCCTTTTCCGGAAGGGGCATGTAAATTTCAGCAGTCGTCGTAGGGAAATCCGCGGGGGATTTAAATATCCCCCGCGGCATTTAAATAAAAATGTCCGCCGCTTTTTTCCGGCTTTTAAAAAAGCCGGAAAAGAACGTCTAGACTGGCCCCGATCCTCCGGAAAAAGTGCCCTTTTCCGGAGGCTCTTATTCCTACTTCGAAGTAAGAATAAGAGCCTCCGGAAAAGGGCGCTTTTTCCGGAGGATCGGGGCCAGTCTAGACGCTCTTTTCCGGCTTTTTTAAAAGCCGGAAAAAAGCGGCGGACATTTTTATTTAAATGCCGCGGGGGATATTTAAATCCCCCGCGGATTTCCCTACGACGACTAGTGAAATTTACATGCCCCTTCCGGAAGAGGGGCCAGTGTAGACGTAGCCTAAGGGAAGATGTAGAAAGGTACATCTGGCTCAAGTGCTGGAGATAGTCAAGGATCAGTGGGATGGATGCCTGCAAGGGATGCACTCCCTTCTGTAATGCCCTTTCAGAAAAATGTCTACACTTGGCCAAGTAAGTGTACCTAGTGGAGGGTTTCCTACTTTCTAAAAGGACCCTCCTCACCATGTCTGAGCACACTTGCTCCACTTCCATCAGCCAGGGATATACCATGCCACCAAGTGTAGAGATGGCAGGTTCAGATGGCACAGCCGTCCCAACCCCAAGTCCTGGG